AGGTCCTGGAAGGCTTGTAAAGGCTAAAATGAATGCAGTAAAGTGTAGAAAAATCCTGGAGGACGACACAGTTAGTCTGCCAGAGAACACAGACTTTGGAGAAGATCTGTTTCCAGCTGATCCAAAGAACACAGCAAAGCTCCACAGGAATGGTTTAATGACGACAGGGGGACTGTTCTGGAGTCAGAACCCAGACCTCAATCCAACTGAGAATTTATGACTGGACTTGTCGTGATCCCTGTGCAACCTGATAGAGATTTGCGAAAGAAGAATGGAGTCAAATGTGCCAAAGTCTTGTTCAGACCTCACAGGCTCGGTGCTGTAACTGTGGGGAAGGTGCATCTAGTAAACGCTTGTGCAATCACTTGCTGAACATCTTTAATTAAGTGACATTACTGTGTAGAAATCTGTTTTCACTTTGACGGGAAATTGTCTTATTTTTACAATTCTTGCCCAAAAACAAAAGCCTGTTGGAAAGCAATGAAAGGGGAAAACTTTTTATCGGCACTATTTGGTCATAATTATTAATTAGAGATTTAGTGACCCCAGATTTTGTGATCTCCATTTGGTCATGAGCTTTATTCTTGTGCCTTTATTTTGAAAATCAAAACAAATTTGCTGAGCATTTTTATGTTGTATGTGACAGCCCAACACAAACCGTACACACAGGTGGGGAATAGTGACGTCATCACTCTGGAGAGAAAAGGTTTGGATCACGAAGCTTTGAACAGAACTGACAGCAAATGAAAACGCTGGAATGTAAACTCCTATTTTAACAGGTTTGAGGTTCGATGTAGTTAAACATAAGCAGACTCTGTAATTAGAGTGTAATCAGACGGATATGAAATCCAGATGAGATGGTACCCTCCTGATTACCAGACTGAGTGAACATGCTGCGTCTCTTTTTTTTATTTTTTATTTTATGAAGAATGGAAAAGCTATTTAGTCGTCACTAACTGCACCGTGTGTGTGTGTAAATGTGTGCACTTGCAAGTAAATAAATCAGTTACTAAACAAAGGCTGATGATATTTGTGTAAGAGCGTTTGCTTTCCCGTTAACAGAAGATGAATGAGGATGTGTTTATCCAGAGCTTGTTTGTTAAAAAGGCAGCACACACACACACACACACACACACACCCTTCAGGTTAATGGTGTCTCTTCACCTGAGCTCTCCCCCATGCAGGGAGGTAGTCTGTTCCCTGGGCGCCCCATCTCCTCCACCCCATCCTCCTCCTCCTCCTCCTCCTCCTCCTCCTCCTCTTCCTCTTCCTCTTCCTCCCCAACCCTCCCCTCATCCCGACCCCCTGAGTCCCTAGCATCTGCACCGGGCGATGGCTCGACGGCACCTCTTACCTGCACGCAACACCCCCTCCCTGGCAGACTACCAACCTGCATCGGGGACGTGGGCTGCCTCCACGGCGGGTGAGTCCAAACTCACTGGCACAGACAGTGTAGGAGCAGTAACCAAGGAGAGGCCGTCCCACACCACACGCCTCCCGACACGCCTTGTGCTTGCATGCGTTTCCTTACGTGGGAGCTACTTCTCAGGTGTGTGTTTGCAGGTCTCAGGGAGTTCTACTGCATGTGAGAGAAAAAAAAAAGTTGTGCGAAGTGATGCTACTTACGGCCTGACGACTGCAGATGGATTTAGAGGAAAGCCTCCTTCTCATGTCTGCATTAGACGCTATTATAACAACACACCTGAACGTCTAAAACAAACTGATGGAGGTTTTGAAAAAGGTAGAAAATGTGTAGAATAAAAAGGAAAAACTTATTTGTGATTCCACTTGTGCTGCTGCTAAATCAGTGGAATGTTCTTTTGAGAACGAAGGGAATGTTTGGAAACCAATTTTCTCCCAAAATCCCTCCTTGTGTTACCGCTCCTACACTCAGCAGATAGTCAGGAAGCTGCTTTTTGCCATTTACACACGAGTGTGGGGTTCTGGTTGTGGTTCGGGTTATTGTGTTTTATAAGGAATTTTAAGACACCAGTTTGTTTGTTCCTGTGTCTTGTCTTTGTCTGCAGTGTGGTACCGCAGGAAAAACGACCTGCACGCAGTCAGGGGGCGTCTGCAGAGTCCCGAGTACAAGCTGAGCAAGATCCGCTCCTCCACCATCATGACGGACTACAACCCCAACTACTGCTTCGCTGGCAAGGCGGCGTCGCTCAGCGAGCTGAAGGAAGTGCCGCGCAAGAACATCACGCTTCTCAGGTTGGAGGTTCAGCTGGTCGCCTACGCAACACGCTCCTCCACTGCTTTTATGGTAATGTTTTGCACTTTGTGTCCTCAGGGCTCTCGGCCACGGCGCCTTCGGTGAGGTCTACGAAGGCCAAGTCCTGGGGATGAGCGGAGATGGCGGCCCCATGCAGGTGGCCATAAAGGTCAGCTCACGCCCACCAGAACAAGCTGCACTTAAATGTGGGATAATGGCACCTCAGCAGGAAGTGTTCATTAAGTGTAATCTACTCAGCATCATCCCACAGCGCTGCGCTGAAGGTCACACGTATGGAACGACGGGTTTTTCTAATTCATTCAGTTAAATAACAGTTATTCTTACTGCTGGACATAAAGCATTACTAAGGTAGAACAAATGAAGTCACAAAGTTGCACAAAATGACTGACTGTGGAATAAGAAAATGCATTTTTTCGGTCCGTTTCCATCAGCGACCGAAAAAGCTGGGATAGCTGAGTGAGCGCCGCATGGGTTTGCCTGCTTGTCAATGCTCTGCTGATTAGGTCTAATGGTGTATTTCCCCTCGACAATGGCACACACGCACAGCTCAAACGGCTTCTCTGGTTCTTTCTGCTCTACAGACTCTTCCAGAAATCTGCTCCGAACAGGATGAAATGGATTTCCTGATGGAGGCGCTGATTATGAGGTGCACCAGACTGCGACCGTACACTTCCTGTGAACGTTACACACACACACACACACACACACACACACACACAGAGCGCCGGCTGCTTTATCATTTCTGCTCACACGTTGGGTCGATGCATGTTTCTTATAGCGGAGCCGCAGACACACAAGACATCTGACTTGGAGGAGATAACAGTCGGAGCCAGATGTGGAGCTTTGCTCACTAAAATCCAAGCCGCTACTACAATTGACTGCACATGTTGTTCCAGGCCAATTAGTAAACACAATAAGACAATCGTGTCTGCCGGGGTGTTATAATCGCAGCAAAACAGTTAGAATGCAGTGAATTGTAGCCCATTTTATGACTGTGTGAGCTTTAATTGATACGCAGCAGTAATTGGGCTCCTTCTTAGATGTGTTTTGGGTAATTTTTGTCTTATTTAGGATGAGTTTTTGTGAAAAACAAACATTAATCACTGTTTTACTCCCACTGTTCATACTTGGTGTGATCCAATCAGAGCCAAGATCGCACACTAAGATACAGACTCTGCAGTGTGGAGGTTAACTATTAACAAGGAATATAGAGTCAGCATAAAAACAGCTTTGGTTAGTTGTGCACGAGAAGATTTGATTAACACACGACATGTTTTGAAGGTGGCTCGGTGGTTAGCACCGTCGCCTCGCAGCTAGAAGGTTGCTGGTTCGCGTCTTTCCGTGTGGAGTCTCCATGTTCTCCCCGTGCAGAGAGGGCTCTCTCCGGGTTCTCCAGCTTCCTCCCACAGTCCAGAAACATGCTGAGGTTAATTGGTGATTGTAAATTGTCCGTAGGTGTGAATGTGAGTGTGCTTGGTTGTCTGTCTCTAAGTGTAGCCCTGTGATAGACTGGTTACCTGTCCAGGTGAACCTGCCTTCACCCTGAGTCAGCTGGGATAGACTCCAGCCCCCCATGACCCTGGTGAGGATTAAGGTGTAGAGATGATGGATGGGCAGCCTCTTAGGTCTGCCTGCTGTGAAAAAGAGTTATTTTCAGGATTTCTTTTCACTCAAAGCTTTGCATCATTCTCATAATGCTGCACACATTCAAATGATCAGACAGGTTAAAGATTAAAATGGTTAAATAGTTGTATAAGAATTATATTATTCTCAATTATGTGCATATTGGGGAGACAGAAGGTGCAAGATGTACGGACAGCTAAGGAAGCTTTCATTCATTCTACTTGCATGACAGCAAAAGAGCTGGAAAGTCCATTTTCCAAGACAAAACTACCAGAAACTCATCTACTTGTTGTTTCTCCTGCACTTTCAAAACGTTAAACACACTTGCAGGCCTGCTAAACTAAACCCCGTGTCGTTCCCTGTTTGTTCACGCAGCAAGTTCAGCCACGAGAACATCGTCCGCTGCATCGGCGTCAGTCTCAACATCCTGCCGCGCTTCATCCTGCTGGAGCTGATGACCGGAGGAGACATGAAGAGCTTCCTCAGACAGAACCGGCCGCGAGCTGTACGTCTGCACCACATCTTTGTGTGTGTGTGTGTGTGTGTGTGTGTTTAGCTGAGGTGTGTTTGTTTGTGTGTCACACTAATTGGAGCTGTGCTGTATCCAGGCTCAGACCTCTTCACTCACCATGCGGGAGCTGCTGCGGATGGCCAGAGACATCGCCTGTGGCTGCCGTTATCTGGAGGAGAACCACTTTATACACAGGTTCATTCACACCCAGTTATCAAGAGCTGGAGTTTATTACAATCTGAAAACAGGGATCAGCAAAATGAAAACGCGTTATCAAGGGCTACGCTGTGTGGACGTGGTTCATCGGACTCTGTAGTTCTGGTTTAGACGATATTTTGACCTGGTTTAAGGCCCGTTTACTAAAAAACACTAGAACCACATGATTGGGACTCTGATGCAAAAAATGCTGAATATTGGATGAACGATGTTGCACAATCATTTACTCATGAAAACATTCTCAGATCTTATTTGCTTGCTGCAGGACTTCAGATAAATAAACCTGCATAAGACATCATCAAGCAAAGATTCGAGAAAAATGCGGCTAAACTGATCACAGAGGAAAGGATTTAGTGTCATGAAGCTACACCTCGTGACAGATTTTTCTGGTTTTTCAGAGACATTGCTGCCAGGAATTGCCTGCTCACCTGCCCCGGACTGGACAGAGTGGCTAAGATCGGAGACTTTGGCATGGCGCGAGACATTTACAGGTTTGTACGCTGAATCTGCAGCATCCACGTAGCAAAACACCCACGATAATGTGTCTCATGTGGAGCAGCCCTGGTGCTAACTGGACTTGAATAGGTATCTAAATTTCCTCCACACGGTCAAATGTTAAATTTAGTGTCAAGAGTTTGTTGTGGTGTTCACCTTCTGTTTGAAACTGTTCATTCCCTAAATCTGATTTCCTTCTTTTCCAGAGCCAGCTACTACAGGAAAGGCGGTCGTGCCATGCTGCCGGTCAAATGGATGCCACCCGAGGCCTTCATGGAGGGAATCTTCACTTGCAAGACTGATACGTGGTACGAATGCCTCATGTACAGTAGAGCTCTACAAAAGGTCCCGTTTGTTTCCCCTTGTCATGTCTTCACATTTAAAATGTTAGTCAGAAGTGACAGATATGTGTAGCTTCCCGCTGAGCGCCCTGCATTTGTGCTAATTGCTGCCATACCGCGTGTGTTATTCAACATTTTTCTGCACAATAAACAACTAGGACCAGATGTTGTGCTTTAAAATTGGACACAGACTCGCATTAAAAAAGTATTTTTAATTTGCAGAAATGTTAAAAAGCCTAACAGTTCTCTGGAGGGATAAAAAACTGTCCCAGCACAACATTGCAGCTAATTTTCCAGCCTCTGTGTGGTCGGTGAAGAACACAGAGATTTAACTCCCAAACTAAACCGAACAGACCGACGGAGAGCTGTGCATCTTCAGGGCAGCGTGGAAAGTGGACGTCTTGGCAAGATAGCGCAGCATCTGCATTCAGGATACTGAGCCGAGCGAACAAAGGGCTCTGTAGGACAGTATAGAGGCTTTTATTAGGGAAGGAGCTGCATCTGAAACCGCCTCTCCGTTAACAGAACAAGTCGGATATTTAGCATGGGGCAGGTTTGTTTACAGATCAAGAAGTGGGAACTATATAGTTCCACTTTGAATTTTAATGTCGGGACCGCAGCATAATCAGGTTAAACAGCAGTCCAATTAGACTGAAAAAGGTTGGTGGAAACATGTTCACCATCATCTACAGTTCAGTCAGTTTGACCACAGAGACATGCGACTGAAGTCTAAACATCATTCTCTCTCATGATCACTTTCCAGCAGGATAATCACCTTAAACAAATGAAGAGCGCTGGTAGAACTCATCAGCATCAGTACACGACGTAGGGAAAATGACCAGAATGCAACAGCACGCAGTCTGTTATGTTATAGATAACTTATTCAGAATTATTTTTTCTGGGTCCTGCTAAAAATACTAAATTCCTGTTGGATAAGATCTGAAGCAATAACGCTGCAGGCAACAAACACGAGCTTTGTCAAGATGAAAACCCCCCAAAATGATGTCAGCTCGATGTAAATAAATTAACGGTTTGCTTTCATCCCAGGATAAATGACTCTTGCAGCTGGTTAGACTGTGTTGTCCGTAGACATGCGGAACAACAACGATCCACTCAGCTGCTGATCTGTGTCTCCCCCTGCAGGTCGTTTGGAGTGCTGCTTTGGGAAATCTTCTCTCTGGGTTACATGCCATATCCGTGTAAAACTAATCAGGAGGTCCTGGAGTTTGTCACCAGCGGAGGCAGGATGGATCCTCCTAAGGGCTGCCCAGGGCCAGTGTGAGTACTGACAGGAAGTGTTTACAACAGAGAGGAGCTGAATCCAGCAGCAGAGAACTGAAGTGGTCTGAGGTAGACGTGAGCTTCCTCGCTTGACAGGTCTTTGCAGTGTCAGGCTTCTTCTTTCCTTTTTTTCTTTCTAATTCCCCACCAAGACTGAATATGTAAAAGCACAAAATGGACCCTGAGTTTGTGAAGTTCACTTTGGAGACTATAAAAATTTAAAGTTTTCCCCTTTTATGGCTTTTCAAAATGGAATCAATTTAATTTCTCTTTTTTGGCGAAAGTTTTCACACTAAAAGACTCTTGTGTGAGATGAAAACAGATTTCTACAGAGCACTGTCAAAGACTCAAAAACATAAAATGTAATATAACCATGTAATTATATAATATAATTTACCCCCTTTATAGTGAATCACATAATTCAGCACAGTTGCAGCCAGATGGTGCTGGAAGTCACACCGTTAGTGAAACAGAGATCATCTGATCCAAACATCGTGTAAAACTCCTGCATCTGGAAGGCGGTGCTTAAAAACTAAGTAACGGTGCAAGAAAGACACGAGTGCAGAGATCTCCAACTTTGGTCCTCATGAGCTTCTGTCCTGCAGGTTTTAGATGTTTCCGTAGCGACACACCTGACTCACATTGATGGATCTCCATCAGCTTGTTGTCAAGTTCTACACAAGTCTGTTCATGATCCATTAATTTGAGTCAGGTGTGTTGCAAACCTGCAGGACAGTAGCTCACGAGGACCAGTGTTAGAGATCCCTGAACTAGTGACTGAGGCCACCAAGAACCTCCTCTGAAGAAGTTGTAGATTAGAGTTTACCAGAAGGCTTGTAGGAGACTCTGGAGTAACATGGAAGACGATTCTTTGATCACATGAGACCATAACTGAGTTTTTTGGCCACTAGACGCTATGTTTGATTCTCACCATGAAGCACGGTGGTGGCAGCATCATGAGGTGGGGATGCTTCTTGGTAGCAGGTCCTGGAAGGCTTGTAAAGGTAGACTGTAAAATGGATGCAACAAAGTGTAGGGAGGTCCTGGAGAACAACCTGATGTGGTCTGATGCAGACATGTGATTTGGGAGAAGGTCTGTTTTCCAGCAAGACAGTGACTCTACAGCCAGAGCAGCTCAGAAATGGTTAAAAGACACGAATGCTGGCTGGACTTGCAAAGAAATGTTCACTCATGATCTTCATGCAAGCAGTGTCCACACGTGGAAGACCATATCTGAAGCTGCACCTGCTAAATACTGACTACAAGGGTGGAACAATTTGTAAATTCTTGTGGGAAAAAAAAGCCAAATTACTCTGAGCAGGATTCAATATTAAAAAGCAGTTAAAGGGGGAAACTTCCAAACGGTGGTAAATCTGTTTCTAGGCTCTGTGCAGTTATCTTTGTAATTTTTTTTTCTTTTGTGCAACACTGTTCTGAAGGATCATAGCTTTAGAAACAATGATCTCCTGAACCGTTTACCACTTTTTGCGTCAAACTCTTTGGGCTTCATTCAGCCTCGATGTGGAACTGATTGGATTTGCAGGGTTTTCTCTGTTTCTTTTCTTAGAGGTGATCAAATTGTCAAACAGCATTACATTCACAATCATTCATCAGTTTGCATCTGTTACTGTTCAGCTATCGGATCATGACCCAGTGTTGGCAGCACTGCCCTGAGCACCGGCCCAACTTCTCCACCATCCTGGAGAGAATCAACTACTGCACTCAGGTAGACTGAAGATATTCTTTCAACCTTTTGTTTATTCCTCCTTATTTTACTGTCTAGTAGATAATGTTTGTTTCCGTCCCCGTCTCACTTCTGTTCATCAGGATCCGGATGTGATCAACACACCCCTACCAGTGGAATACGGTCCCAACACAGAGGATGATGGCGGCACGGTGATCCGGCCCAGTGACCCCACTTCCACCAGCCTCACCCCACTCTTGGTGTCACACCCTGTTTCCCAGGATTTGCCCTCCCAGCTCGGTCTCTCCTCCATTGGTCTGGGTCCAGCCCCTCACATCCCACAACCCACCAAACCCCGTCTGCTCCTACAGAGAACCCAACCTGTCCACCATGAGGTGGCGTCATGTCGCGAGGCACTGGAGCCGTCCTGGGCTGAGCCTGTTCCTGCCCCCGGTTTGTCGGCCGGAGGCAACTGGCTCCATCCTGAGCCTCCTCATCACCGGCCTTGCTCCAGAAACAGCTCCTCCTCAGGGAGCCAGAGGCTGAAGAACAAGACCAAGAACCTCTGGAACCCCACGTATGGCTCATGGGTCTTGGAAAACTTCAGGGGGAAGAAAACGCTGGCTCACACTCAGTCCATGCCGCTGTCGAGCTCCTCCGCCTCCAGCACGCAGCCCTGCAGCCCGACTTCAGAGAGCAACGAGGCTGGGTGTGACAGCACCAGCAGCACCTACCTCAGCCCCTCAACCCTCTGCACTTCATCCACTCCATCTCCTTCCTGCCAGGCTCCAGCTGCGACAAGCGCGTCCTCCCACAAGACCCTAGCAGGCGGTGCCACAAAGCCGAGCATGGACCTGGCTAAGCTCCAGAGTTTCCCCTGTGGCAACGTCAACTACGCCTACGATGAGCAAAGCTACGAGGCAGAGAACCTGCCCCTGGTTATGCCCAAAGCTCCAGAAGCCATCACAAACACCAGCTCTGCCCAGAGTGTCTCCTCAGGGGCCAGTCTGGCGCTGGCGTTAGGCCTCCACACCTCCTCGTCCTGCATGCCCAAGCTGCTGCTGAAGCGTCACGCCAGCTACGGACACGAGGACGTGAGGAGACACACCAAGGCCGAGAAGCCCACCCGCGACCGAGACTCTGGCTTTTCTCTGTCCGAAGACCTCAGCGTTACCCCAATCTGAGAAACAGCTCACAGGGTTTTTGATTCATCCAAAAAAAAAAAAAAAAGCCACCTGAGTCCCTTCTCTAACAAACTGAAACTCAAGCTCTGGATTTCTGGGACAAGACCCACCACGGTCAACAAGCCACAAAACCAAAATGATTACAGTTCTTGGTATGCTGGAAAACACACTCGGACATCCACACACACACACACACACTCCTCTGCACTGTGATACAAAGAGCTAAGCCTGGACTCAGAACCCCGTCGTGGGCGTCTGGTAAACTGGTAGCTGAACACTGAGTCTGGGCGACACGTTGCCCTGTGTTTTCTCACTCTGTCCACACTGTTGGCGATGGATGCCAGAAATAACTGCTGTAGATGGACTCCTTTTGTTTTTGTTTTGTTACCTCCTTTTGGCTGCATTTGTTTCATGAAAGCTTTGGCAGAATCCTATTGACATTTGTAGTATTCAGTTTGACCATAACGGGCCAAAAACGTTGCGGCACTGGGAAGAGAATCTCCGAGTTTTAATTTCAGCAATGTGAACTGAGGAAAAGCTTCTTTACTCCTTCTTTTGATGCTGATAGTTGGTGTCAGGAGTGTTTCATTTATAATTATACACATGCTTTAGGACCTTGTAGTTGTAGCTGGTACTTTAAAGTGACTCTGGTTTGCTTTCACCCCCTTATAATGTGAAAACATTCCCACAAAACTACTGCAATAACATGTGTTTTCTAACATGTTAGGTTTTTCTAAAGCTGTAGAGTCGCTCGTAGATGCATCGTGTTGCCGAGCCGGGCGGACTGCTTCCCGCCGTTCTCAGTCTTTGTGCTAAGCTAACAGAATATAGCTTTATATTAGCAAGCGTCTCTTCTAACAAGAAAGAAAAATATTGTGTGAAATGTTGACCTGTTCCTGTCGTGACTTAAACTCTCGAGCTGAATGTTGGGATTGTTGTGCCAAACTACGCAGGTCTTTGGATTTAGCCTCTTCCCCGATGTCCCAATGTTCACTTAGAAATGTACAGAACATGATGACGACCGTGCAGCTGGGAAAATATTTACTATTTTTGTACTCGCTTCCTTACACTGGACTAACCCATTGCATTTGTAGCTGTTCCTTTTTTTTTTGTATTCACTTATGTTAATGATGAACTTGTAGTCTATCACTGCCATTAGATGCTGCTGCTGCTGCGCTGCATCGACCGACGTAGCGCCGCCGGCAGTACCTGTGTTTACTCAGCAGGGGGAGGTGTTCAGCTTTGACGTGCCAAACAAGCTGCTGCAGGTATCTCAATATTAATAATCAAAGATTTTTTTTTTTTAAATGTGGAAAATCTCTATTCGGTATTTATGTTTTCAGGTTATTCTTATTTAACCAGTTTAGTAGTGGAAGTTGTTTTATTTTGAGCCTAAACATAGCATATTTTTTATTATGTTGAGTAAGTAGTTGCATTTATTGCTGTACTTTTTATGCCCTGCTGATGTTTGTGTGTCTTTATTTTCGTTGCTCATAATAGCATCTTTAAGAAAAGGTAACTCACCAAAAGGCTCGTAGTTTTCTACAGATTGTGCCGTTTAGAAATTCTGATTACTGTTGAATATTTTTACATGGGAGGTTAAAAAAAAAAAAGACCCTCGTCTGAGTTACGGTGTATATTTCTGAAGTCCTGGTGCATTTAACTTTACATTCACAATTTTTTCAGTTTCTTTTTGTTGTTGTTTTTGTTTTATATGTAGCTGAGGATGCCTCCGACAAAAGTGCAAAGACATTCTATGCAAACACACTGTCTTTCATCTAACCTAACTGTGCCCCAAATAAACCCACGTATGTTGATGTCACTTCGGTTCCACACAGTTTTGTCCCCGATGACGAGAAATGAAAAAGATTTTAAAGACGACGAGAAAGATTTTACTGTTGAAAATAGCAGAAACAGTGCGTCCCCGTTTTAATTCCACATATACGTTCATTCATTTCATTCACTTTTCTAAACTTTTAAAATGACCCACACCGGGAAAAAAAAGCAAAGACATCAAGGCTCGCGAGAAAATCTGAGTAATGACGAGTTTGATTACAGAAATAAAATCAATTAATAAAAAGCGAATAGGCTGCAATACAATAAAAGCTAGTTTGTCAGAAGCGTGAGACACGTTGTACAGTCTGATCAGCGCTGCACCGGGGATGTGGTGTCATGTAGTAATACGACTGTGAGGTCCGCGACTCGGTCAGAGTGTCCTACTGAACAGAATTTCATCGGTGCACTCAAGGCTGATGGTGACAGTAGACGGTGTAAAAGTCAGACCTGAGTTTGTAAGTTGTGCTCGCTCACTCCTCGATTTAAATAGGATTTCTTTCACATGTGACATCCTGTCTCTGAAACTGAAATGCAGAATCCCTACGCTTTCACTTCTGTTCGTTTTGTAGGAAGTTGAATTAGTGTCAGTGTGTTTGCTCAATCATTTAGTAACTGGCGGCGAACGCTCTGCCTCTCGCTGTTGTTGGTGTCAGTACTAAATATAGTCGCTTGAATGGTGAAGGCCAGCGGCTGGGAGTTCTGGTGTGCCGGTAACTTCTCTCGGGCTACACAAAATGATCTTTGGTGTAGCTGTGCTGTGCTTAAAGATCACCCAAAGCACTTCTGAAACCAGCCTCCCCTGCGGTGTCCTTTAAAGGTCACTGGCCACATGTTTCTGTAGGTTGGCTGTTTTCTTTGGTGGCTGAGCAACATGTTTCTGTGCCTTCGGTCCCGTCGCTGCTTACGGACTCCAAGGTGTGGATGAGGTTTCCCAGCCCCCACAGGTAGCCGTCCTCCCGGTTGCCCTCCTGCCAGGGAACGTCATGGTTTAACATCTGGCCCTCTGGCAGCGCCGTGGTCTTGCCAAAGTCAATAATCCACACTTGTGCATTGCCCTTGTGGTCGTGGATAAAGAGGAGAGAGCTGCCGATGACCTGGGGAGAACAAGGAGGGTTTTAGGATTTAGTTCTTCTTTCTTCATCCATCAATAGCTGCACACAGATGGGTGACATGTCAAAGGAAACCACTCAAAAATAAAAAAAAATCAGTTTCATTTGTTTTATCAGCGAATGAAACATCTGGAAGAAACAGAAGCATCCAGCAGCTTCAGGGGCAGGAGCTCAAATCAACCCCGACCTAATTTAAATCCAGTTAACAGTGATAAATAACATTCAGTTAATTCCTTGCTGTGGGACCAGTGTGCCGCCACAACACTCTCCATCACGTCGTCAACACACGAGATGGGAGAATTCATTTTGGAAATATGGTGTTTAGTCACTGGAGTGGAGCTTCAGACCGAGTTCCAGGAGCTTTACTGAGGCGCTCGGTTTGTTTCCCTTGAACGTGTCACCCATCCCTACTGCGGATCAGTCATCACCTCGTGTCGCCTGAAGAACTCCGAGGTCTTCAGGGCTTGCCGGATCTCCGTCAGTCTGCTCAAATAAGACTTCTGTGTTTCAAAACAAAAATAGCAAAGGGCGTAACGTCAATTTAATCTGAATACATAATCGAGACAGTGGAAGCACGGCAGGGTGTCGTCAGGGGGCCTCCGCTGTGATAGGAAACTCAAACAGCATTACAGGGCGAATATTTACTTTGCATCTTGCAGGAGGAATTAATTAGAGGTTTGCTCTTGGAGGCTGTTTGCGTTTGTCATTTGACTGACACCGACCTTTTTCAAACGAAAAGACTGAGTCTACAAAACAATTTACCCCTGTCCAAACACTGGACACGGATGTGAGAGCTTACTCAGCTGATGAAGTCTTTCAGGTAACAACATTCCTTTGAGTCCATACACAGCAAAGTATGTTTCCTGTCTGTCCTCACTTGAATGGATATACTGTGTGTATAAGTGCTGACTGACTGCCACGTACCATGATGGTGACGTTCCCTTCGACAAAGTCCTTGAACACCTGGATGACATCCTGCTTCGATCTGGTTTTCTTGAAGTCAGTTCGACATGTGCCGTCGTCTTTCTGAAGAGAAGAGAGGAGCTCGATGAGAGTCCGTCACAATAAAACAAGTCACTACGCTCAGAACATATAGAATATTTTATTGTGTGTTTTAAAGTTCTGTCGCATAAATCAAAGAAACAAGCTGATTATGTACAAGTGATCAGACTTCCTCCTGATTGAAGAGTCACTTTACGTCCCTATACCATCACTTATGGTCATGAACTTTGTTTAAAGACCAAAAGAACCAGACGGTGAATACAATCAGCTGAATTGAGTTTTCACAGCAGGGTAGGTGGGCTTGTTTTCCGAGGTTGGATGACAAGTTTGGAAACGCTGGTGGAGCTCAGAGTGGACCTTCACATTCACCTGAGCCTCCACTCAGAGCTCTACCAGCTGGACAGAGCAACTCACTGCAGGGATGAAATCTCCCAGCCGGTCTGGGAGCAACTGGGGCTCCTCCAAGACTCACTGGCAGAAGCTGCTGGACCCTAAAATTGACTAAACGGTTTCAAGAATTGATGGATGGAAGAATTATTTTGGAAACATTATATTATGACCTCATGGTCAAATAATCTGTGTTTGCAAACTTTTGCCCAAATAATACTCAGGCAGATATGGAGCAACATTATGATTCATTTGGAGTGAAGTTCAGTAGTTCAGTATTTATGCTCTTTATTGTTCTGTTTTGTGTCTGTTTTCCACCAAGAGGAAATATTTGGCTCTTTAACTGCCTGACTGCAGTCATCAGCTGGCTACAGGCTTTGTTTCTCTGGTGTTGCTGGGCAATCGCTGTTGGCTTATCAAAGTTCCCCTAGTAAAAAAAAAAAAAAAAAAAAAAAGAGGCCTGCTACAGCCAGAAAAGGCTGAAGCGAGTGGTGACAGTGATTTAGGACAGTGGAGTTGCAGGGAAAGCTAACAGAAGCTGAACTGCTCAACAGAGCTGAGGGCAGCTGCAGCCTTTTCATGTACTAATCATGAACCCGTTGGTGCTGAAACACTAAGTCCAACATACTTGCTCCTCGTGTAATTATGCACATAGATTCTGCTCCTTTGTGCAATTCTACTCATTTAGCACCTCGTTCAGCTGCATGACTCACGGCGGGAGTCATGCAGTCACAAACCAGCCTCCCTTGACTTCACACTGCCAGTATCCTGTTAATGAGATGTTAATCAAACCCACATAGCGCGCCGTTACCTTGATCCCCTCTATCCTGAAGCCCAGGGTGTTGGTGGAGCTCATGGTCTCCCTCCACTGCATGTACCGGGGCTTGGTGACGCCCCTCTGGGCATGTTCCTGCGGAGTCGGCCCCTCGCCGTCCACCTCCACCATCTTCCTGTACAGGTCCTCCCTCGGTTTGGGCCGCTCCCTCGCCCGAACAAGCTCCTCTTCCAAGTACGTCCTTTAACGGCAGGAGGAAAAACGCTGTGCTGTTTTTAAAAAGTTTTTAAAGCATTTGTCTGCATGTAAATACACAGGAGCAGTTGTGTGCTTTCAGGCTTCATCAGATTATGCAAGATGTAAGATGCACAGTCAACACAGCCAATGTTCACCTACACACAGTCTTTTTATTATGTTTTTTGCAGAGAGCTCCATTCTTTTCTAACAGTGCAGACGCAAAGTGAATGAAAGGGAAAGAAGCGGCGGCTTGCACAGCTGAGGATAACCGACTGAACAAGCCTTCATTTCAGCCCAGCAGCACACTCACATTCGGCTCATTCAGATGAGACGTTTATGTGCATAAAGATGTAAATTTCAGTTTCAGTTTGCAAGCTACACTTCCTCCGCGCTGAAGAGGGAAGCTGAGAGGAGACTCCGGTGTGCAGCGTTCAACTGTGTGAAAGTCTGTGTGTGTTTGTGCAAGTTAGTGGTTTTGCAGCTTTGTGGTTCACAGTGTTTTTGAAAGAAGGGGAGTCTCCAGGGACACCCTGATGTGTGTGAATGTGTGTGTGCTGACAAGCTGCCTTAAAAGTATAGACACATGCTAACAGTGAGTAGATAAGAAAAAACACAACAATTTGTTCATGTGTGCCGTCGTCTGTGTTTGTAAGTTCAGCGCATGTGTGTCTGTTGGTGTGAGTTTGTGTGCATCTGTTTGTTCAACCGGAAACAAAGGTCTCAGAGGTTCGAGTGTCCGTACCTGCATGTCTGTACACGTGCACATTCATGTGTGCATTCATGCGTGTATGTATGTGCCTGTATTTGCGTACGTGTGTGTGCTGGCGCCGTGCGCATGATACAGTCAGCACCCCGCCCGCTGTGGCAGGAAGCCAAGCACACAGGCTGCAGTTACAACAGGTGTTCCCTTGTAGAGCAAAACCGCTTCAGGCAGCACGTTCTCATCACTCGTCTGCTCGTTTCTCAATAAATTCAACATTTCAACAGAAGACGAGCACAAATCCATAAATAAACAAGGAATTAATATGTCATATTGAAGCTCAGTGGAGCAGAAGGTGAAAGAACGTCCTCTTTAGTGGTGTTAATAAAACAAATATATAAAGAGAAAAGAGAAATAACATCAAACATATGAATTAAAAGTAAATAAACAAAGACCCCACTTCCTTACCTCACTCCCATCTTGCAGTCCATGACATTAGGAAGGTCGAAGTTTGTCAGCAGGTCGGTCATGTGGAGGAAAGACTCTCCGTCTTTTTCCACAACGCCGTGGTATCCGGGCACAAACGGACGCAGCGCATCGTCCTGCAGCTTCTCAAAACACTGCATCTCGTTCTCGCAGAACTTTTTCAGAATGGTGCCCTCATCTGCTGCTTTGAAGTTGCCTGAGATGAGATGAAATGGATTTCAGGCTCGCATTGTCAGACTGTGAAGTAATGTACCTGCATGAGTTGAATTTCTGAGCGATATTGTGAAATGAGGGAGCATGTCATTGGGTTTCATTGACACGTAGCTGGACCAGGATAATTCAAACTGATTGGACGAGTCTGTTGCAGCGTTAATGGAACAAAACAGGCCTGACTTTAATAATTAATGACAGGAACCATCTTTCTTGTGTACAGCACTGATGAAAAGTGGAAGTTTTAGCCTTTTATTGCTTTTCAACCTTAAGTCACGGTCAATTTAAGTCGGCTGCTCAGACAAGATATTACTTTCATGTCAAATTGAAAACAGATTTCAACATCAATTAAATAAGAACATAAAATAAGGGATTGCATAAGTATTAACCTACTTTAACTCACGTCCTTCCACACAAGTGCAGTCAATTATAGTTAAAGGTCACAGTTTGTGAAACGGAGATCATCTGGTTGCAGTGAAACGGTCTCAAGGGGTTCATATCTGGGAGGTCTAGTCACCGGTGACTCAGTGTTCCTGACGATAACTACACCATGAAGACCGAAGAACACTTCAACTAACAGCGAAAAGGTTATTGAAAAGCATGAATCAGAAAAAAATCCCACGTCTCTGAATATCCCTCAGAGTGCAGTTAAATCCATTATTAGGAACTGGAAGGACCGTTGCACATGTGTAAATCTGTCTAGAGCTGGCCGTCCTCAAAAACTGAGTCACCGTGAGACTAGCGAGGGAGGCCACCGAGACACCGATGACTCCTCTGAAGGAAGGTTCAGTGGCTGAGAATGACGAGACCAGAGTTCATCAGGGGGCACATGAGAGACTCTGAAGTCATCTTTGTTCTGAGACCAAAACTGAGCTTTTGGGCCATCAGACTAGAAACTACGGTGGACACCAAAAACAAACACACCACCCCCACTGAGAAGCATGGTGGTGGCAGCATCATGATGTGAGGATGCTTCCTGGAAGTAGGTCTGTGAAGATTCTCAGTCATTGAGGTCACGGTTATTCTCATAGATTAGTCGTAGCCACTGGACTTGCTTGAGTTCCTTGAAGACTCACGTAACGAGGGGGAGGAGCAGCAAACCCTCAGTTGAAACCGAAGCTCAGGTGCTAATGGCTCCTTTAGGATATCAGTATCTGGAACTCCCAACTAGTCAGTCAGAACTGATGAAGCCTCTTGGATGAAACATCTTCAAGGAACTCAAGCAAGTCCAGCTGCTGCGATTAATCTACGAGAATTCCTGGCAGTAGGTTCTGGAAAGCTTGTAGCAGAAGAGGGTTTAGAGAAGTCCTGGAGGCCAACCTGATGCAGTCGGCAAGAGGACAGTGACTTGAGAGAAGACTTGTTTTCTAGCAAAGGTAACGACCCGAAGCATACGGCTACAGCTACCTCTAAACGGTTTGAAGACAGCAAGTTAAATGTTGTAGAGTGGCTGCCTCAGAATCCTTCATCCAGTTGAGAGTTTGTGGTTAGACTCAACTGGTCCCCAAGAAACCTGATAGAGCTTGAGTGGTTTTCCGAAGGATACTGCAGCTGAGACCTGTTCACATGGACTCAGTGCTGGAGTCGAGGCCAAAGGTGCATTTAGTAAAGACCGACTGACCAGATGCAGGCGTCTTCAAACACATTCACTGAGTTGTGTAACTTCTAGAACCAACAGCCACACCTGTGTTGAACGAGGTGAATCACTGTAAAGGGGGTAAACATTTATGCAATCCTTTATCTTACATGTTGGATTTTTTTAATGAGTCGACATGACTTTGTAGAAATCAGTTTTTACTTTGAAGTCTCTCTTTTTTTTTTTTTTTGGAGGAAAAAAGACAAAATCAGTGTTGAGAAGAAATAAAAGGAGACAATTTCCAAGCGGTTTAAATGCTTTTTGTAGGAGCTGTAAGTGTTGTGACTGTGCCGGATATCCGACCCTCCCTTCGTCTTATTCCGTGACACAAAGTGATAGGATCTGAACAGGTCGCACCTTTATGCCCGGCCAGCTGAACCCAGTTCAGTCTTCTCCTTTGGGTGGCACTGAAGGGCCAGTGGACGATGGTCTTTAGCTTCCACCACGGTTTGCTCTGCACAAAACAAACAATGCATTCATCATTATTACACAACAAACACACTGGAGTCGAGCGCCGTCTCGGGTTTGCGGGTCTTTCTCCGTGCCCTTGATCACATAAATGATCAGATAACAGGAAGAAGTGCTGTAAACCGGCCTTGGTCAGCTCTATACTATCGGAGCAGAAATCTGATCACATAAGCAGTTCTGCCCAGTAAATCTGATGCCAGGCTTTCGGTTTTCCACTGCATGAAACCCTTCAATCTAGGTCAGCTAAATGCCATTTCTGTGGAAACTCATATCTGCGTTCGGCATCTCTATTCAGCATCTCGGCGCGGTGATTGGCTCTCAACTTTGATTCACAGAAATAAAGCAAGAAGCCGTCCGAAAGTCAGTGTTTTTTATATTTAAACAGGACGTCGTATTGAATGAAGCGTGCAGAATGTGTCGCATTGTTTAGCAGAAAAACACTCAGGTTGTTGTTTGTGGCCTTTCAACTCCCACTCGCGTGTTCGTAATGTTTGATGTTTTCATACGACTCTCGGCAGTGAATTAGGGTCTGCTTGAAATCAGGAACAAATACAAAGATGTGATCGAGGAGCGAAGTAGCTTGTTCTTGCGTCCCGTCGGCCTCCCTTTTGTCCTTCGTTCTCTCGCCACACATGCAGAAAAACACATCAACAGCTTGCGTGTTTCACAGAGAACGCGGTCGAGCTTCACACTTACGAGGAGCCGCCTGTTTTATTCCTTCATCCTCCACACAGAGCGCACACACACACACTTATATCTCATCTGAAATATCGCTACAGGTCAAATTACAGCAAATAAAGTCATTTTCAGGTGTTGGTTGTGTTTGTTTTAGATCCTGCGTTTGAGCTTCAGATTTAAACCAGTGGGTTCTGAATGAAATAGGAAATGAAACTCTTGTCAGTGAGGCTCATGCTGTAGTGTCTCAGAATTTACCATCCTTACTCATAGCAGCCAGCCAGGGCGCTTTTAAATGTCAGGTGATACGCTTCACTTAGTGCTGCTTGTTTGCTGATAATCTGGCACCGAGGAGGCGTTAGACTTCCACAAACATTTGTTTTATTGCTGCAGGTTTTCACGTTTATCGCTTTACGAGTGAACCTAGTTGGATAATACGCTGATTTACTGACTTGAAACACGGCGTTCAAGATGGATTCAATCAGAGTTTTGATGTAAACACAGTGACCACGCAGCGCTTTGGACAATATTTATATTTTCCACAAAGTCTGACATTGAAGCTTGATGTTGTTCGCGCCGTCCCGGCCTTGAGGACAGAAACCGCAGGAGTTTGCACTGATAACACTTTGAATAATACTGGTCTCGGCCTCGTGTTAGGACTTGAAATAACACGTCTGCTCGCCGTTGAAAAGAGCAAAAGCGTATCAAAAGCTTACCTTAATGCCGGATGTGGGAAAAGCGCTCAGATCCTTTACTTCTGCACCAATACAACAACGTGAACATACAATTTAAATCTCCACTTAAGCAAAAGAATCAAAAGCGTGACACATACTTCACAAGAGCTCGTCGTGTGGTGAGCTGACCTCTGTGACCTAAAAGACTCTTGATGCATCCGTGTTGAAATGTCTCGTCGTGCTAGAATTTGTCAAGTGTCCTGGAGAAGAGACGAATTCTTCTACACCAGTGTTTCCTAATTATTTGGGATTTTCTCCTCTTATGAAATCGTTTTTCCTCGTTGGGTGTAGCAGCTCACAGACACCTGAGAGGAATCTGAAGCCAAAAAGGCTCTGAGAGGCTGGTTTAACTCTTTAAAATGTACCATATTCTATTTATGGTTGTGTTTTAAGGTAAAATCTTAATTTGAAATGCAACCACTAACTATAGTTAATCATGTAGTGGAGTAAAAGAAATATAATATTTAACTTTTGTTGGGTAGAAGTCTAGAAACACAAGCACTTGAATGAATGACTCATTATTAATTAGGAGGAATGTATTATTATTAGTTTATCTACTCTTTCAAAACCAAAGGAACCTAGCTTAGCATTGGCCTTCCTATCAGTTTATTCAGCAGATCCGTTTTATGCTCCGTCAGGCTTTACTCTGTAACACCAAACCCGTTGTGAGCGAGACGCTGACTCAACGCCGAGTCGATCTGAAAAGAGTAGTCAATAGCAACTCTGAAAAAGAAAAACACACACACTCAGGCAGCCGAACTCGACGTGACTCAGTCGGCCTTTACTGGCCGACCATCACAAGTCACGGCTTCCACGCGAAGCAGCATCTTGATTTGATAATCGACGGCCAACCACCGAAATATCACCAAATGAATCTCATTGCAGCGAGCAGCCTGTTGGTCCGCATGCCTGCCTGCTATCAATCCGTGTTGTTCTCTTTTTTTTTGCTGTGTGTGTCTGCAAGGAATTCATCTGTAATACGCAGAGCGAGCACTGACAGAGGCTAAATTCTGACGCACAAGTGTTTTTGACTTCCTGAAGTGGTTCTTTGTCAAATGTCAAAGGCCAAGGCTAAAACTGGATGCTGACCACAAAAGCATTATTACACAATGACATGTTATTCTGTGCTGTGTGTGTGTGTGGGGGGGGTGTGTGTGTGTGTGGGTGTGTTTATGTGGGCTGAAGGAGCAGAACTGGCTATTTTCAGAGGTGTCACGGCCAAGATATTTCCATTTTATTTAAAATGACTTAATCAGCCACTGCAGAGCTACAACGAGCTTTTATTTGGGACGACCTTCACGGGGCGCTTCGGTGGATCGGACGGTGTGACGGAAACACTCTCTCACACACTCACATGAACACACAGGACTAACAAGCAATGTGTATTCAGTCTGTTTAAAAGAAAGTGACAGCTACAGGCCTTGTATGGGGAAAGCAAAGAGAAGTGGCCGGACCATAAAGCACACAAATCCACTCCCATCGACAGTCAGAGTGTAACGCGGTGACAGCGGAGACAAAACGCAGATTATGTTGTTGACGAGAGCGCAGAGACGCAGAGGTGACTCACACTCAACTTCCCTACGACTCACATGAAGAGATAATGGCAGAACTCTGCAACAACTAGTCGACAACTTAATCTGAATATCAGAAGGTGTGCTTTCTGGGAGGCAGCGCTGCTTCAGTGCACGCGCAGGGACTGAGACTCGACAGCCACAAGTGAAGCTTTATCAGCCGAGAATGTCAAAGGCAAACAAGCTTCCACCCTCAGCGCCTGTTGAACTAAAGGCCAATCCTCCATCGCTCGTGTGTTGTGGTGCTGAGGGAAGGACGTGAAGTGTTAAAGGTCACGGCTTGCAGCTCCAACACAGTAAATTCAACATTTTTATGACTATTAATGAGCATCACTTGTGCATTTGTTATCTAAACATACTAACTGGGACTAAAGGGGCAGTATTTTTCTTCGTCAACGCGTCCCATGCGGCCTTAGAGATGACTTTGGCAGCTCCTTCATGCTAGTTGTGGTCCAAGCAGCGCCTGGGTTCATTAAGGTGACGTGAGAGGCTTTGATAACCCATTAAACACGAGGGGAGATAATATCGTTTCAATGCGGACAATCGAATTTCCTGAAGATTATCCTGCACTCCTCTGGCGAGGCTCTCCGAGGTTGTCAAAGCATTTTTTTTTTCTTCACATAATTAGATTTATCAGGATGAGAAACGACACACCTCACAAGCGAAATTCCCCAGAACTCACATCCATTATGTCAGAGCAGAACCGAAAATAACCTCTGAAGTGTGGAAGTGACCCGTGAGGATTCTGTGCTGGAGGACATGTTTATGCCACTTGCAAATCAACTAAACAAACTTTGAAGGGAGGCTGTTATCTCTGTGTAACGGCCTCTTCTCTGCAGCCAAACAGCCCCCTGTGGTCTTCTGTTTGCTGACTGCTGTTTATGTGCTGCTGCTGCTGCGCTTCTCCTCTTTTCCAATCATCAGCTCTTTACTGTAACTGTGTGAGAGCAGATTTGCAAAGACACACAGGAGGTCAAGATGGCAATTTTTTAAAATGTCATCCCCAGGAAGCCCCACATTGGCAGGTTTTTTCTTACAACTGTGGATTTAGACATGAGTTATATAACTGGGAATCTGTTTTGAAGCATTTCACACATTTTATAGCATCAGATTGTAAGTGGCCATTAGAAACTCAATCCCAACAGCCACTTTAAATGCTTTCCTTCAGTAATTACATCATTATGTGCAGTTCACTCACTTCTCCAGCGTCAACCAGATGCTCCAAAGTGATGATGCCTTTGCTTTTGCTCTCATTGTCGCTGAGTAAGTCATCCTCGGACTCCACAGCAGAGGACCCAGTGGACGAGATGGAAGAGTTGGACAGTTTCCTGCGCAGGGTGCCGTCCACCGCATCATCCCAGTCCTCCTGCTGCATCTCCCGGGATGAGCCGCCTCCCTCCGGGGTGATGGTGACCTGCGGTACCCGGGGCGCATCCATCACAGGCGGCGCGATTTGATCGGCTTTCTGAATGAGCTCATCGCAAATCTGGGACGACTTCCCGGCCGCTTTTCGCTCTAAACGAGACCCCTCATTTATTCCAGAGAGCCCGAAGTCCTTGGAGGTCTTTCTCTTGCACTCTTTGGGCATTGGAGAGCTGGATCCGTCGTGAGAGCGCACGACGAGAGGCGCAAAGCCGCTGCGCTTCAGCCTTCAAATCTGGTCATTTCACTTTCAGAAACTTCCAACGCCGCCGGGTTCGGGTTTATATATCCAGTCGATCCTCCGCGGCACTTCCTCGACCGAGCTTTAACGCATAAAAAAACGCCTGTGCCAGCCTCCGAGCTCCGTGCGCGCCGTCAGAAGGGGAACCCCTCTCTGCTGGTGGCGTGGCTCGCTCCTCTACGCGCCCGACGCACGCACACGCCCGCGCACTCACACCCACACAACTGCACGGTGTTTATCTTCCGCATTGAATCTCTGGCTTCCTGACCGAGAAGTTAAACCAGCTGACACGTTAAGTTTTCCAACAGTTGCAGACGTTCTGTTGTCGCGCTTCTTCTTCTCCGCCGCGCCGACAACAAACCGAACTGGAACCTTTAACTCAACATGCACCTGACAGAGCAGTTAGGAAAGTAGGAAAAGGTGAAAGGAAGGAAAAGTTTTTGTTGAAGCTGCCATTTGGAAAAAACCAAAACAAACACACACACACACACACACACACACACACACACCATTTTCTTTTCACATATTCAAATTCATTGTGATGTAAACCGCATTGACTACCCTGGAGGTCACTCATGGTCAATATAATCTTTCTACCAAGTAACGTCAATTAATCATAAATATAAAAACAGAAGTGCTTGCATAAGTATTCACTTCCACTATTTACATATTTAGTAGATGCACTTTTGGCAGCAATTACACTTCTGAGCTTGTGTAGTTGATCTCAATCAGCCCTGCACATCTGGATACTGTAATTTTACTCCGGGTTGTCCTCCAGGATTTCCTGATACTTGGCTGCATTAAGTTTTTTAAAAATAACTCCAAGGTTCCTCACAGTTGTAACTGTCTGGTTACTCGGTGTGTTTCTGAAGTGTTTGGGGCCAAATATTATAACTTTTGTCTGCATTTAGTAGAATTACAGCTCATCCAGACGTGCTTTAAGTTTAACTAGCTCGTCTGTTTCATGGACACATACAGCTGGGTGTCATCTGCATAGCAACGAACATTTACATTGATCTTATTAAACATCTGCTTCAAAAAAAGTCCATCACTAAAACCTTGCATCTCACACAAACTGACTGTTTGAATCACTTGAATGATTTTAATGCAAATGTTAAAAGACCTTAAACATTTATGGTTGAAAAAGCTCAAGTCTTTTTTTATCCACTTTTTATACACTCCAGTGAAGCTTTCCTGCCGCCATCTCGATGTCGTGACAAGAAACAGAACCAAGAGCAAAGATAACTGGATGATGCATCGCTTGTCAAACACAGCTGCACCACTTCTGAAAATTAATATACGTTTATTTCCACTTTTCCTCCATCGCTCAGAAGTGACCTAAAATATGCATCGTCATGTTTAGAGGTTTGACCGGACTTCATCCACGCAGGATGTTATATTCTCTGCTATTGTTCTTTTATGCACGGCGGTATCTGGTGTCACATCGTTCTTTAGTCCTTCAGCTGGACTGAAGGTGGAGTCAGAGCAGTCAGAGAGGTGAGAGGTCATCGTTTAACGGATGTGAAGCTGAAGCTTGGCCGAGCGATGACGAGTGAGAAGAGAAAAGAGGACGGAGTGGCGCCCACAGCTGCAGCCTGTCTGTAGGTATAACTACACCTCCACGGGCTGCTTCACTTCATTGGAGGTGAGGTAATAAGTAGAAAAAAAACATGCAGAAATAGAATAAATTCTTCTTGTGTGTCAGTATTTATGGGTAATCTATAGTACTGTGTAAAAAAAAATCTGAATTACTATGGAAAGTAAAAAATTTTTCCAATACTTTTCTGTTGTTGTTGTTTTAATTGTAAAAAAAAAACAATCAGTAAAATTACAATATTATCTGTAAATTAACACCCAACACTTTTATATGTACTATGACAATACTGCCAAATCATTTTCTTGCGCAAAACTTCATATGTTATTTGTACAGTACAGTTTTTTATGTATAAATATACTTTCTTAAATTAAATAGAAATGTGTGTAAAATGCCAGTAATTGCCTGTATTTAAATATGGAGCTGTGGTATTTGTAGCCATGGTTACTAATAGAAGGACAAAGAAGCGAAAGAAGGAAAATTCTAGCAATAGCAGTGACATTTCTAGAAAAATCCGTAGTTTCACAGCAGCACAAGAGGAACCGGGACTGAAACCGATGTTTTTGGACCCCTGAGACTTCCTGCACTGTGTTCATATTCACCTGCATTTCAGTCTGCAGCAGATGCACAAGTCTGGCCACGCGTTTGACAACAACACACAAAGAGCAGAGGAGCTGACAAAAGGGTTTTTTTGTGAAAGACAATCCGGACGAATCGCTGGTGGAGCTGAACACTTTGCCAAGTTGTTAATTCAGCCGTGCAGACTTTGGCTTGGAGCCACGGCGACCATTCAGCATCGCTTAAAGCATCAAATTAAACAACAGAGTCTCAGATGTGGAAACAACTACATGCAAATATTTAAAGCCAGAAACGTATTTTTATGGTCTTCAGGCAGAGTTTGAGTGATGACGTTAAATGTAGGGATCATCATTAGAAGAATGCTTGGATTATACGGTACACTGCAAAGACTCTTGGACTGTTTCCATTTCCAGGAATGTGCATCTCTTGTTCAGTACAGCTGCACATGGACGAGTGTGTATGTGTGTCCACATACTAGTACATCAAAGTACATGATACCACTGGTGGCCAAAACCTGACAGAATGCCTTAAAGATGTATGGATGGGAGCTTTAGGCTTAATATCTTAATTCTTTAAACAATTAAATCAGTCTCACCTCATCTCCTCCTGCACGTCTTCTCTGGTTCTCTCAGGTGATGTTGGTGGTGATGTCAGTGAGGAGCTGCTGGTGGATGTTGGTTCAGGTCATTACTGACTTCCTGGAGGTTGACAGGCAGGAGCTGAGGCGCTGTTCCCTGGACTGGACGCATGTGAGCGAGCAGGAGGAACAAGATCAGTTACAAACACTGCAGCTGCTGTTGCAATCCATAAGACTGGTTAACCGTTAGACATCAGGAAATGGGGCTGCAAGGTGGTTCAGTGGTTAGTACCGTTGCCTTGCAGCAAGAAGGTCACCGGTTTGCGTCCAGGTGAGGACACCCAGGATCTTTCTGCATGGAGTCTCCATGTTCTCCCCGTGCAGCGTGGGTGTACAATCATATGCTAAAGACATAGATCTTGAGAAATATGCATCTGCATCATAATACATCAGCTGACTCCAGATAAAATTAACACCAGAAGTTCTATAGTGTCTTTACAGGCCTGGGCTCCTTCCTCCGGTTCATATTTCCTAACCGGTAACAGAAAAGTGAGATAAAAAACAAAATATATTGATGTTGGAAAAAGGAATTTAGAGAGTCAGCAGTATGATAAATCTGTGCTGGTGTTACACAGAAAGCTCTGCACTGGGCGCTTGATATTCACCGTCTGGTTTTCTTCCATCACTGTGGCACAAGAAGCTGCAGAATGCTGCAGATGTGGACGTGTATGGGATGTATTTAGGACATCATGGGACCACATTAGTATTTAATTTGGTGATTTTGTTACCATCAGGCCCTCTGCGTGGACAGAGAGGCGCCGTCAGGTTGCCTCATGACGTCCTCCCTGTTGACGTGCACCACCCTCAGCCTCTGGCCTCCGGCGCTCCTCCCGACTTCCTGGTGTCCGGCTCATGTCTGGAGAGCGTCAGCCCTGATCCGGCTGCCTTCACGAGAGCGCCGGTCTTCTGCTGCCCGGTGGCCACCTCCTCCTCACTGGGGCCTGAGAGGAGAGTTACTATTTTGGTGGTCTGGGGGTAAAGATCCCTGTGGTCCTGCTGAATGAGGCCCAGGTGTGCGCTGGTCTGAAGTAAGCTCACTGTGATCAGGCTGGAGGTTTACACGTTAACTCAGGACATGAGGCATGACGTGAGTGGAATGAATGAATGTCTATTGTGGCCCATCCTGCGTCGCTCACCAGAAAATCCTCTTAAAGTTTTCATGCAAACCAGTCCACATACTGTAGAAAACACTCATTCCTGTCACCTTTCTCCGTCACTACAGACTTCTCTTTGTCTCCTGATGCTGCTGTGTTTTATTAAACCCTTTCAAAGTGCCCTCTGTGGAAAGATGAAGATATAAATACACAGATTTAAAGACAGATTGGCCGACTCTATTCACAATAACATCCAGTGCCTGAAAAAAGCAAACATACGCTGTGATGAGCGCGTTACGTAAAGCTCCTTGCTTTTGTGTAACGATGCTAATTTTTCACAGCATCCAAACAGGGCAGGATTACCAAACAGTAAATCTGTCCAGAGCTCCTGTTTATGCTAATTAACACAATGTAGAAAACAAGGAGGAACAACAGAATAAACAGATAAAATAAACTGAGCAGCTCATTTGATCCTTCATGTGATTTGATAATCAAACTACTTTTTTATAAATGTTAGATTGTTGACATGTTTCCATCCAGCAGGTGGTGCTAATCGTAAGAAAAGTAAAATTCAAAAAAGCATAGTGAGCTCTTAATTATTACTCTCTGTAGTTATTAGTTAGTTAGTTTATTAAGATCCCCATCAGCTGCAGTTATTCTTTCTGGGGTCCAACAGAATTATATACACAAGAAAACAGGAAATATTGTAAAAACAAAGCAAAACAAAAGCCAAGTGAGCTTTAATTCCTCACAGTTTGATGAGAAACGATGTCATACAACATTGTGCATTATCATTTCATTATTATATTGTATTTTCTGCATATATATATACATTTATCTCAGCCATAGATACTATATATACATGTCACATATACATATCTGCCTCTACCAAACTACAATCTACTACTACTGCTAATTATAAATGATTTATTTGTGGAGAATGGGTTCACTGAAATAATTCACTGTAAAGAAACTGCAGGGGTTTTTTTATTGGTTGAATTAATTTTGAGTGGACAATGTTCTTTGCAACGAAAAGAATTGAAAGTGGGATAAAAACAAAAATATATATAGTAAGGAATAGGAAAGAGTGACACGTTGTTATGGTTTAATGAAAGAATGACTTGGGCTGAACATGTTCATAAAGTATTGGACACATGAACGTATTAAATGAGGTGTTTGGTGGGAGGTGAACCTGGAGCTGCTTTAAGGTGTAAAGTGAATTTATGAGGTCGGTGTACGGACAGGCAACACACACATCTGTCAGAAAGTCACGCTGCTCAATATTAGGCTTTGAGATGACACAGTGGTGTGTTTAAAGCAACCCTTAACTCAGCATTACAGCTGGAAATGGAAGAAATTAGAAGCATCCAGCTAATTACTGTGTTAAATTAAAACCTTGTTGAGGAGGAAAACTAAAGGCTTTGGATGAGAAGAGCAGCAGACAGAGGACAGAAATGCATTTTTTCCAACCAGCCCAGGAAGAAGGAGATAAATCAGACACACTATGAGCTGAAAAAAAAAACGAACAAAGGCAGGAGAAGAGAACGAGGAGCTGGAAAACTGAGGAGGTTTATGAAAGACTGATCCAGATTCTGGTCATTACTGCTTTAAAACTGTGATGTGTGACGTTTGCTGCTGCTTTGGCCTGTGAGGACAGTCTGTGCTCGTAGTGGAGATGGTTACAATTAGTCTGAATCCTCGCCTCTTCTCTTGTCTTAGTTTATTGTCGCTCCTACTCTCCTCTTCTACGCTTCCTGACCCGTTACAAACCCACCAACATCTCTAAGAACTGAAATCATGCACTAGAGCTACAGAGAGTTCACCGTCTGTGAACACATCCCCCACAAACACCGTCTCAATCCAGAACAACCTCAAGGCTTTTCTTTCATTAGCGTTGGGTTGTTCTTGTCAGGATGCTTAACTTGAATTTTGGTTTTCTGTTGATAATTAGTGTCTGATTCTGAATTTGGTTTTTGTGGATTTAATGGGGGCTGCAAGGTGGCGAAGTTGGTAGCATCGTCGCCTTGCGGCAAGAAGGTCGCTGCTTCACGTCCCGATGAGGACACCCGGGATCTTTCTGCGTGGAGTCTCCATGTTCTCCACGTGCAGCGTGGGTTCTCTCCGGGTTCTCCGGCTTCCTCCCACAGTCCAGAAACATGTTGAGGTCAATTGGTGATTGTAAATTGTCCGTAGGTGTGAATGTGAGTGTGCTTGGTTGTCTGTCTCTAAGTGTAGCCCTGTGATAGACTGGTTACCTGTCCAGGTGAACCTGCCTTCACCCTGAGTCAGCTGGGATAGACTCCAGCCCCCCATGACCCTGGTGAGGATTAAGGTGTATAGATGATGGATGGATGTTGTCGTTTTTTTAATGTGGTCCTGTGATTAACCTCCTATTACCTTTAAATTCACTGACATCTTTTATCCTTGGGTTCAATTTCCAGAAAATTATCATGATTAAAATTGTTACTGAAGTTCATGTGTAAATAGGGTCAAACTGACCCCAGTGATAACAGGAGGGTTAAACTCTGGCCCCACCTTGGTCCCCATTAGTCCAGAACCGCCTCTGAACCATGTCTCCTACTAAACAGGGTTAATGACAAGAGTTTAATAACTCTTGTCATTAACAGTTGGTGGCGGTAAAGCTCCACATGGCTCCAGTTTGTTATTAAACAAGAAGACGAAGAAGAAGAAGAGGACCTGCTGTGTGGAGGACGGTTGTGGTTCCAGGAAAAACAGTCGGAGTGAGACCTCCTCCTCTCTAAAGGGCATCCAGCCCGTAGTCAGGCAGCCCTCCACCGCCTCAGACTGAGCTCCAGCCCCCTCTGTCTCACCGTATCCTCTGTCAGCAGCACCATGTTCGCCGTCAGGAACGCTCTCCGCCTCGGCTCCAGGCTAACCGTCTCCGCAGTGCCGAGGAGAGGATGCGCCGGAGCTGCCATCCCGGTGGACGACGTGGTGAACGGGCTCACCGAGGACCAGGCGCAGGTTAGCTACGTTAGCCGCAACAGTAGGGACTTAACTGGTGCAGGCTAACAGCAAGCGGCAAAAAACCGCCACGGAGCCACGTAGGAACAAGTGTTAACAGTGTAGAGGGGTTTTAAATAAGTTTTTCAGGAGAAACAAGAGAGTTATTTGAGGACACAGTTCACATGACGCGATGACATAACGTTAGCTAACAGATAACAAGACCTTGATGTTAGCTAGCTAGCTAGCTAGCTGGTTAGCTAACAAACAAACTGAGGAGTTGCTATCAGAAGCTACAAAATACTAGTTTGAATTCTTCTTGTTTACACATTTTTTTTCTCCTTAAACGCCACTTAATTTTTCCAGAGCCAGCTTTAGTCAGGTTTATTTATTTTACCCAGCTGAGCTATCGTAGTATTAAAGGTAATACGAAGTGTCTCCAAACAAGCTGCGTCCAGCTGAAGGTGGCAGCAGGACAGCAGCCTTCTAGGAAACTAGGTGAAGGAGACACTTTGGCTGGGAGGAGAGCAGGGGGTGGGATCCATATGCACGATCTGATTGGATGGAAGGTTTTGTCCTCTGATCCTGGACCACTATGAGGTTACATTATTTAATCAAACAATCAATGAATCCGTCAGAGTTTATTTGTGCAGCTCTTCCCACACAGAGTGATTCATATAACACAAGTGAGCAGGTAAAGGAAACCGTGTCAGGAATAAATGCAGCAGCAAAACAAGACAATAATAGACGACGGATCAAATGGACTGCATGTGTAAACACAGGGTAATAGTAAGAATAAAGCATTTAAAGCAACACTAAACAGATAGATATGTGTGTATGCATGTACCTGTAACGTCAGACGCTTCTGAATAATTCTTGCATAATGGCCTCCATCTGCAACTCCACCTGCACACGTGTCTCCACATGCTGCTGGTGACAGGCTGCCTTCAGGTCAAAGTAAAGAAGACACAAACCAGTCTGTTAGTTGATCCCCTTCAACAATGAATCTGTCAAACAGTTTCATTTGTGAGTTGTTGAATAATCGTTTATCTTCCGTCACAGCTGAGACAGACCGTCCGCAAATTCCTGGCAGAAAAGCTCGCGCCCTACGCCGACGAGATCGACAAGACCAACGATTTTCCACAGATGCGGGTGAGTTGGTGGCTCGCCTGCAGCTCCCAGACCGGCTGACGTAGATCAGAAAGCTGTGCTGTATCTCACGTGTTGTAAATGTCCCACAAACCTGGAGCAGGACTTGTGTTTTCCTAACTTTTTTTTGCGATGTGTCTTCATCAGAAATTCTGGAAAGAAATGGGAGAGATGGGACTCCTCGGCATGACAGCTCCAGGTACGACAGCCGTAGTGAGAACAGCTGATAGAATAATCTGTTTATGTTCTGTTGAGTTAATGCTACAGGTGGGAAGTTGCCCATGAAAAACTGAACACTACTCTTTTTTTATAGGTGTTTTTAAATTCTCTTTAATTCCCACCATATATTTCTTTCAGTGGAACACGGGGGCACGGGGTTGGGCTACCTCGATCATGTCATTGTGATGGAGGAAATGTCCCGAGTGTCCGGAGCCATCGCTCTCAGTTACGGCGCTCACTCGAACCTTTGCGTCAACCAGCTGGTGCGCCACGCCAACGAGGCGCAGATGGAGAAGTACATGCCGAAGGTCAGGACCAAACGTTTCTCTGTTATGGACTGTTTGAAATGGACAAACACAAAGCAGCAAATTGATTTGATTGATTGTTTTAATCATCTCGATCTCTCGTCTTGCCAGCTGTTGACGGGAGAGCACGTCGGCGCCCTGGCCATGAGCGAGCCCAACGCCGGCTCTGATGTTGTGTCCATGAAACTCCAAGCCAAGAAGACAGGTAGGGCCACGAAACTGATCGACTCCTCTGTGTTAGTGGTACATACTTAGTTAATTATATGCTGCACATCAACATATTTATTATTGATACAGTCGTGACTCAACAATCCGACCCTGAACAATCCTAAACCTGCTATCCGACAGGTTTTTAGGAAAAACAAACAGAAGCCATAAAAACAGCCTTAACATAGCGACAGCCTTGGATTGTGACTCCGACATGACATTTAATGTCACCAATCAGGATGACGGCGTATTATCTGACTGAACAATCCCACAGATTGGCTACGTTCACACTGCAGGACTTGATGCTCAATGAGGATTTCTTTGTGACTTCCTTCACGTTTCCAGTTCAATGCGACTTGTATGTGATCTGCTGTGTGAACTTCATACGACCCAAAAGTGTCCCGCATGCGCAGAAGAGGACACGACGACGTCACACGCAGCGAGCGCGCTCAGTGTTTACGGAAGTAAACATGGATGGTAACGGTGGAGCGTATCTGCCACTCCCCCGCCGCCACCGATGGAGGAAACAGAAGTGTGAGCGCTAACTAAACTAGCATCAGCAGCCAAGTACTGCCTGTGTGTTCTGGACACTTCCACCCCGTCAGAGCGCTGCCCCGGGGTGGAAGTGTCCCCCGACCGCACCGAATATTCTGATATTCATCATTAATTGGGCCTGAATATCCAGAGAGCAGAAAGTTCTATTGGGACCAGCCCTACTAGTTATTATAACAACTATGGACAATAATTAACAACTAATGAGCCTTCCAGCATCAAGCCCTCCTCGTATCTGGACCTCCGTCTTGACAATCCGACAGCCTTGATATCAAACATAAAAGAAGTTTTTACATTTAGTGTCGGATTATCGAGTCATGACTGTATACAAATGACATATTTTCTTCATATCTGAAGTGAAAAGAAGTAAATGCATCCCTGCAGATATCTACAGTTAGCCTTTCCTAAAGTGTTAATGCACAGTCGCTTATTATCTCATAAACTTTAAGACCAAAGCTCGGCTGTAGTTGTGGTTTGTGTAGAAGTTTGAGCACCTTACTGAGTCAGGACTCGGTTGTCCCCTATCTGGCAGATATCACAGCCTGCAAAGACTTCTAGCAGCCAGCTAACAGACTTTCTGTTCTTGATTTAGGACTTTCCAGCTACTCGTGCAGATCGCTTCAGGTTCTCAGATATTTATAAGCCGTCTTGCACACACGGCATGTTTGAGATCTGCCCACAGGTTCTTAGTGGTGTTTAACTCGGTGGACTGCGAGCGCCGCTCCACCAGAACTTTGCGATAGATTTTGAGGTTTGATTTGGATCATTGTCCCGTTGTAGAGGACGTGCTATTCTCAGTTTTACTTTTTTGACTGAAACTGGGTAAAGTATTAGCTTCTTACTGTTTTATTGCCATTTTTTTGTATTATTGTGTGTTTTATTGGTAATTGGCATTTGTGAAAGCCTGTCCTATGAGGGGGGACAAAGCCATACTGGTTTGGCAGGTTTGGTTATGCCAATTTAAAAGAAGTATTTTTTTGGTGCTATCTCTGCTGTAGTGATTAATTAGAAGATGGTGGTTTAGATGCAGATTTGAGCACAGTATTTTAATTAGGATCTTGTTGTGTTTCCTCTTCAGGGTGTTGGAGCCTAAACCAGGGTTTAATTGCAAAGTTTAATGATCACAGAATGAGACGCCGTTTAACTACCGCTGTGACGTAATACAGACTCATCGTGATAAGAAGCTGTCATGTGCTTACGTCAGTCATAGCAGCATCTGCCTCCTTTTCAGCATCTATTTGTTTGTTTGTTTGTTTATTTGCTTGCTCGCTCATCTGAAAATCACCCGTGACCTGCTGCGACTTCAGCGATCCATTACACCTCCGAGCTCCAGGCTCCAGTGTGGTAATGTGGCTCTAAGGGTCAGACAGGCAGAGCGTCAGTCGGTGGCAGCCTGGAAAGGGCTGCCAGTTGATATTAGCGGCTGCTGCTGCTGCTGCTGCTGCTGCTGGGGTCTCATGCCACCTGTGGCCACCAGTCTTTCTGTTTAATCTGTATTTCTTTGCCACCTTGCGGGTCAAAAATAGACACATTGTTAGTCTGCAGCTCTTCTGTGCCTCCAGCCTCCCTGTTGCTGCTGCTGCTGGTCACCCTGACGCATTCCTCTGGGTATCGCAGCCCCAGAGTTAAATTTAACTTCATCTGTCCACAGAACTGGTATCCTAAATGGCTTGTCCACATCTTTCCTGCATGATTGGGTTGTTCAACGTGGAGATGATGTCGCAGGTTCTGATGTCACTTCCACGTCAGTCATGTTTGTGCATCAACACTACAGAGTATAACCACTGCTCCTGTGTCAGCTAAACCTTCATGCAGATCCTTTGCAGTCCAGTGGGTTAAGGATTCAAGGAACTTTATTTGTCGTGCCAGCTCACATTCACATGTTTGTGGTACGAAATTAATACTCAGGTCCCAGTTTTTTAAGAAAGAGCCTAATAAATACTAAGTACAATAAAAACAAGAGCAAAATATAAGTAAAAATACAGCAATATACATGTAAAGAGTAGAAAATTAGTTATGTTTAGCACTAAACATTTGTGTAGCAGTGAGGTAGATTGTAATATTGCACTTGGTTGGTTGAAATATTAGCTTTGTCTTTCTGCATAGGAGACGTGTAGTTTAATCAGGAGGTTTTCTTGGCCTGTCAGATGTTGTCTTGACTTCACTGATCCACTCCAATTTCTTAATGTCATCTGAAACTGAAAATTGCAAGCTGGATGCATGTTGGTGTCGATGCACAGCCTTTACCTGCTTTGTAGGAATCCAGTAGCTTCATTTTAGGTCCTCAGTCAGCTGTTTAGATGTTGTTGAGTGTTCCTACAAAGTCTGAACAGTCGAAGAACTGATCAGAAGCTGAAGCTGTCATCAGCTGACAATTCCTAATGCCGGCTGTTGACGTGTGCTGTTGTTAAAGTTTGGACCACACCGTGCATGTGTTTAACACTCTCTCATATCAGGGAATGTCACTGACGAGCTATGTGGCCTGATAAGACAGCTGTTCAGGATGTTTTTGCAGCTTGGTGCAGGGTTCAGCCAGAGCAAAGGTGTCTTGAACAGTTCAGCGTGAACTGAATTTAATTTCAGACATTTATCATAATAATAAAACAAAAAAATAGCCCGTTTATCTTTGGTGTATCTTTACCGTCTGATAAGTGTGGTTTCAATAATAAAACAGAGTTCTCATGTCCCCGATAAATCTCCCCTCTGGAGGTTGTTTCTGGGCCTGTGTTCGTCTTATTCCGATGAGATGAGATCAGCAGATTTTAAGATCCTGAGATTAGCTCGTGTTGTTCGCTGTAGAGAGCGGGCGGAGCACGAAGGCATGTCCGTCACTGCCAGAAGATGCCAGCAAAAGACAAAAACACGTACGTGGCCCAAAGTTAATGAAAGCAACGAATGCAAATGTATACCAACGTGAATGTCAAACGGGAAAATGTCTTCCCCTAAAGGCACAAACGGAGCGAGAGGAGGCAGAGATGCTATCAGTGCCCCTTGTGTTTCTTAAATAATTGACAGTATCCAAGCAGAAAATTGAAAGCCACAAGTACAGAAGGTACACATGTTCACAGAAATGGAAATGCTACGTGCTTCCACGATGCACCACAAAGCGACTGCATGTCAGCTTAGCGGCCTGCTTCTCGTTTTATTCCTCGTAAATACTCATTTTAAAGCGACTGTTTGTTGAAGCTGCGGCGGTGGGATGTGTTTGGATCGGTTTAACCAGAGAGACTGAGGTGTTTCCAGGATCAGAGACTTTATTGTTCAGTTGTTGGAAAGTGTGGCGGCCTAAATGTTTTATGGGAAGGTGGCGATTAAACACACATGGTCACACCTTTTCTATTTTCACCTGAGCTCTCATGCACGGTTCCAGCGTATGGACCTCACTTTGGATCCAGATAAGTGCTGCTGAACTCACTTTTGGTTTTCTTATTTTGACACTGTTCTGTTTTTTATAGGGGACTACTATGTTCTGAATGGCAACAAGTTCTGGATCACAAACGGGCCAGATGCTGACGTCCTCATCGTTTATGCCAAGACAAATCCCGAGGCGCATCAAAAGGGCATCACAGCTTTCATCGTTGAAAAGGTAAAAACCGGCCGAGCGACGGTGCGTTCGCTGCCGCGTGGTTTACGTGCGACTCGGGGGACGCGACGGGTTTTCATGTTGGGCTCTGTTCTGGGGGATCAGCCTCGCGTTTGGTTAAATCAATACAGTGCAAAATTACGGGAAGGGAAGTACAAACATGGCAGTTAAAAGAAGAAGGGTCTGTTTGAGCATTATGTGCCTCCTGTAGGGAATGCCAGGATTCTCTACCGCGCAGAAGCTCGACAAGCTCGGCATGAGGGGATCCAACACCTGCGAGCTCATCTTTGAAGACTGCAAAATCCCAGGTACGCGTCGAAGCGCTGCACGGCGGCTCGTTTCCTGATTCTTTCTGTTTTTATGAAGATGGCATTTAATTCATTTTGATGTTTTTTTCCCCTCTTGTGTCTTGTAGAGAAGAATATTCTGGGTCCTTTGAACAAAGGTGTTTATGTGATGATGAGCGGGTTGGATCTGGAGAGGCTGGTGCTGGCAGCCGGACCTGTTGGGTAAGGCTCACCATAACTAAGAAGTTTAAGAACAGATTTTATATAAAGGATGGGTGCAGCGTACCGGTCTGTAAAATGATTTAAGACACTTAAACTTAAGTACCTTTAACCTGCATTCTTTCTAATGACCAACAGAGGGCAGTTCTTCTGGTTGCTGCATCTCACATGATATTTAACCTCAGTAAACATTTTTCTAATGAGTTTATGTTCTAGTGTTTGTCAGTTACAGTCCCGTTCACAGTAGAATAGATAACAAAGCAGGATGTGCTTTAGGAAGTGGCTGCTTTGAATGTGATATCTGGGAGCTGCAAGGTGGCTTGGATGGTTAGCAGATAGAAGGTCGCCGGTTTGCGTCCCGGTGAGGACACCCGGGATCTTCCTGTGTGGAGTCTCCATGTTCTCCCCGTGCAGCGTGGGTTCTCTCCGGGTTCTCCGGCTTCCTCCCACAGTCCAGAAACATGCTGACATGTGATTGTAAATTGTCCGTAGGTGTGAATGTGAGTGTGCTTGGTTGTCTGTCTCTAAGTGTAGCCCTGTGATAGACTGGTTACCTGTCCAGGTGAACCTGCCTTCACCCTGAGTCAGCTGGGATAGGCTCCGCCCCCCATGACCCTGGTGAGGACTAGGGTGTAGAGATGATGGATGGATGTGCATTCTGTCCTCAAGTTTTCAGATTTCCGCTTCGATTGTCAAGTCTAGTTTCAAAAGGCCACGCTGTAAGCTTCTAAGTAGTAGTTTGTAAACGAATGGATGTCATCATGGTGTCATTTTATACCGTCTTTAGATTTTTATGATGTCAAACAGCTTCCAAAATGGGGAAGGCATTATTTAAGTACTGCAGTGTTAAATAAAGCTTGAAAAATAGAAACATAAAGGTGTTTGGATACGTCTGGAACCATTCGGTGTACGAGGAGCGTTCTGATACACTCGTGTGCTTAACGATTATTGTAAGAAGTCTGCTTATGTTTATGTTGTAATACCCCCTGAGGACAAATTCAAGACCGCAAATTCCACTTGCAAGGTTCTGGCAGCGCACCAGTTGTTGTTTGTCGGCTGAATCATGCCAGCAGGGTTGGATTTGACATCTGTGCAATCACTGTGTGACTTCTATTAAACATGTACCACGTGTTGATTCACACTACAGATTCTGATCTGCCTCCTTTCGTGGCCAAAACCTACGACTTCTTTGCTCACGCTGCACAGGTGGAGCCGCTGCGTTTTTCAGGTGGAGTGTTGGAGCACCAAAGCCTGCTCAGGTTTTACAATTCAAGTCTAAAACAGCAGCAGATCTGAAGCTGAAGTGAAGCTGCTGGCTGTGGTTTTGTATTTGAGAGCATGGTGACGGTTTAAAGCATCTGAACTTGTTCTGTGGCATTTATCCAGGTTGTTTTCTCCTGACTGGATCCTTGCTTGTGTTGTATCCGCTCTCAGATGTACGTCGCTTTGGATAAAAGTGTCTGCTAAATGAAATTGTAGAATTTTAGCAGAAGCCGGAGAACCCAGAGAGAACCCACACATGGAGACTCCACGCAGAAAGATCCCGGGTGTCCTCACCGGGACACCAACCGACGACCTTCTAGCGGCGAGGCAACGATGCTAACCACCGAGCCACCATGCACCATCCAGATCATTATTTAGATGAACATTTTCTATATTCTGCTGTCCTGAAAACATATCATCACATCTGTAATCCGTGCAGCTGCTGTCAGTCGGTTACTGACAGTCGGTCGTCCTCAAAACTCCTGATTGAGTTTAGTTTCTCTTTTGTTCATGTTGCTGAAGAAGATTGAATTGTTCTCCGTTCTTTAACATGATCGTGTTTATTCCTGGTCAGCATCATGCAGGCGGTTCTGGACTCTGCGATTCCTTACCTGCACATCAGAGAAGCTTTCGGACAGAGGATCGGACACTTTCAGGTTTGGTCGTCTGTGTTCGCTTTGTTTCGAGTTTAAAAAGTCAAACATTACTACGTAATTAGTTATGTTTGCAGCCGTAACATGTAAAAGTTTAACCGAGCGACCTAATGTGTGACAGCTGATGCAGGGCAAGATGGCCGACATGTACACCAGGCTGAGCTCCTGTCGGCAGTACCTGTACAGCGTTGCCCGGGCTTGTGACAAAGGACACTTCAGCGCGATGGTATGAAGGTTTCACTGCAGAAAATGTTCAGACAAAGGCTATTTACATTTTTCTGCAAGTTTCACTGCCGTAAAGATAAAGAAAGGTTAAAAAAATCTGTGGTTTGTTGCAGGATTGTGCGGGAGTCATCCTGTACTGTGCTGAGAACGCCACACAGGTTGCTTTGGATGGAATTCAGTGTTTGGGTAAGAGCCAGGAAATGTTTAGAGTGAAAATTAAATCTTAAACGGGAGACAACTGTGAGGGTTTGATCAGTGAAGAGATGTTTTCTAGTTTGTACAATTAAATCTGGGGTTTACACCTGGTTTGGGATCAATCTGTTATTTAATCAATGTGAACACCAGCTGATTGTGGATGGAGTCTTGTTTAGGGTGTGAGTGTTAATGTTCCTGTCAGGAGCTGCTGGAAACCAGACGTTTACATCCACGCTATAAAAAGACATAAAACCTGTTTTGTTTTTCACTATCTGACATTAAATCAGACTAAACTTTTCCTGTTTTAGGTCAGTCAGGATCACCAACATTATTTCTATTTGCTAAACGCCAGAATAAAGAGAGAGATTATTTTTTTATTACGTTCTTTAAAGTCAGAAGTTTCCATCCATCTCCTTAGTATCTGCTAGCGTTGCCTTTAAACTCTATGACTTGGGTCAAATGTTCTGGGTTTCCTTCCACAAGCTTCTCACAACAGTCGGATGAGTTCTGGCCCGTCTTTCTGGTCGTCTGTCCGTTCTTGTGAATGCGACGTCTCAGAAAGCCTGCAGGGAATTACTTCCAATTACACACAAATGTTCAGCTGGACTCCAGAATGAACTGATGAGGTTCTGGTGGTCAGAGGTCGCTGTCATTTCACTGAACACGTTTATGACGGTCGCCCAAGAATTCACATTTAGCGACTTCGTAATGTTCTGTTGAAACGCTTTTCCAGACGTTATTCAGCGCCGCAGTTAAGGAGCAGAAGTGGAGACAGACCACATTTGGTTGGACAATAAATGAATGATGCTAATTCATGCTATCGGTCCTGGTGATGTGTGTAGAAACCATGTTATACAAAGACATTTACTGACATTGTGTTCTAGCTGCAGATTAGATTAAGATCTATACGCCAAACATGTACATAGAAAAGTTCCAGGACTGGTGTCACAAAAGATATATTTCAAATCCAAACTACCAGTTTTCTCCTTCCAAGTAATCCCCCTGGAGTCTAACACACTTCCCCAGCCTTCTCTTCACGCCACCATGCACTCCTGGAAGGATTCATCCAGGATCCTCCGTCGTCACAGCCATCTTGATGTCGTCCACGTCTTCTAAACGGGTCCCCTTGATGACCCTCTTGAGCTGGGGGAAGAGGAACCAACCCCACGGAGCCAGGTGGGGTGAGTAGGGAGGTTGCTCCAGCACGGAGATGTTCTTCTCAGCCAGGAGCTGTGGGATGCTCAGGACGCTGTGAGCAGGTTGTCATGGTGAAGCAACCTTCACTGGTCCTGACACAACTCTGGCCTCTTCTCTTAACGAAGCAAACGCTGCAGGATCTTTGTAGACGTGCTGGTTGATCGTCTGAAGGGGAAACCTCTTAGTTTGAAATCTATCTTTTGTGACGCCAGTCCTGCAACTTTTCTGACACACCTCGTTTTGTTTTTTTTTTGGTTTCTCTGAACTGACCACACTCTAAAGTCTTTGCTCCATTTATTTTGGACAAACATGGATGTAAACTGAAACCAGCGGGTAAAAACCGAGGTTAGAACTATCTGTGCTGCTTCTCTACAGGTGGGAACGGCTACATCAACGACTACCCGATGGGGAGATTCCTCCGGGATGCGAAGCTGTATGAAATCGGCGCGGGCACAAGTGAGGTTCGCCGGCTCATCATCGGACGAGGCTTCAACGCCTTGTACAAGTAGAGACAACTGAGAAACGGCAACCGCTAGAGACTGACCGAGTGGTTTGCTATGGATGAACACAATGACTCACACCCAGGACCTTACTGTATGAGCTGCTGCTGCCACGAGGATGAGGAGTTCACAGAATTCATTTATAATCACTCACAGATATTCATGGAATCACTCGGAGTTGACGTTAGAAGCTGAGCGGCAACAAGCAAAACAAATTAAGTGTTGATTTACTGTGTCGGGTGGCCTTGATGAGATTTAGTTTCCTTTCCTATTAGGCGAGCTGTAGTTGCTTAATAACCACTGAAATGCCAGCAATGCAATAAATTCTGATTACTGTACGTTGTAAACGGGCAGGATGTTCTGTTTGACACTCCTAGCAGAGCCACAGATCAAAGCTCTCAGAGGAGCTCCAGTCATTATCACTACACTCATGATTTTATGCTCATTATCACCTTTAAATGTACATTTTTCATCCATACATGTGGGTTTTTTATATATATATGTAACTGCAGTTGGAATCTTCCTGAAGTCTGTTTCATGATTTTAATGCAGAAGCAGCAGATGTCTGTGAGTGTTGGCATTAGAGTAAATATGTTGGATTTCTGGGAGAGAAGGTCATGTTTTAAACTGTAAAAATCAGAATCCTCCTCTGTCAGATGTTTGTCTTCTCCTTTCACCTAAAGTTTGAATATCAGTGTGTAGATGTACAGTATGGAGATGTATGAAATATAATAGTTTGCAATAAAAAACAGATAAAACTATTATTTATTCCTGTCAGTTTACTTGCTAAAGAAGTGAGGATTGGTTGAAGTTTAATTTTTAAGGAATTAAAGCTGCTTTGA